CTGTTGGAACAGTGTTGTGTTTTCAGTTTCGATTCACTGCTGTGTTTGAGTCACTTTAATTTGCATTTGGGAACGCAGCATTCGTCATTAGAATCGTTTATAAGTCTGTTGTTGTTTACAAAGAGAAGTTTCAGTGTCACATGATCCTTCAGAAATCATTCTAACATGCTGATTTGCTGCTCAGAAACATTTACTATTTATTATTATCAGTGTTAAAAACTGTTTTGCTGCTTAACATTTTTGTGGAAACAATGATTCCACTCAAACATTTGTGGTAAGATTTGGTAAGAGAGAGAGAGAAATTAATAATTTTATTCATCATACATTAAAGTGATAAAGTGATTGTAGAGTGAAGACATTTAATTTTTTAAAATAAATGTAATAAATATATTTGGTAAATGCAAATATATGCTGTTCATTTAACTTTTTATTTATCCTGAAAAATAAAATGTATCCCCATTTCCACACAAAATATGAAGCAGCACAACTCTTTTCAACATTGATAATAATTAGAAATGTTTCTTGAGCATCAAGAACTGGAGTAGAACTGGATGCAGAAAATGATAAATTATAGGAATAAAGTACATTTTATAATATATTAAAATAGAAACCTTGTTTTATATATATATATATTTCACAATATTGCTGTTTTTACTTTATTTTTGATCAAAATCAAATAAATGCAGCCTTGGTGAGTAGAAGAGATTGATTTCAAAATCATTAATAATTGTAATGTTTCCAAACTTTTGGCAGATACTTTAATAATAACAAATATATTAATACTTTTATTATATTATATTACATTTTATAATATTAATTATTATCGTGATTATTAAATACTGCCTTTTATTTTTACAGGACAATAGTATGTATTAAAATATAAGATATATCTTTTCATGTGATAAAATAATTTTTTTTAAATAAGTGTTGGGGCGTGGCCAGATTTTCCTGCTTTTTTTTGTCTCTAGTCCTCATTTCTCCCTATTTATTTCTAATTTTTGTGTGCAGCTACTGTCAACGTTTGTTTGTGAAAGTGGTATTCTGGGTATTCAATTCAATTCAAGTTTATTTGTATTGCGCTTTTTACGATACAAATCGTTGCAAAGCAACTTTACAGAAAATTAAGTTTAAGGTATCCGTATAGCGTATAGAGGAATATTTATTAGTCAATTAGCAGATGAAACCAGCTTATTTTTAAGAGATGCTTCCCAAATCTCTATAGCAATTAATTGTATAAAACTTTCCTCTGAAGCTTCAGGTCTTAATTTAAACATAAGTAAATGTGAATTAATGTCTATTAAAGATTGTACAGCACCCACTATTTATATAATATTCCATATTACATATTTAGGCATTGTGATGACAAAATGTGAATGTGCAAAGAAAATCAAACATCCTTTTCAAAAAAAGGTAAAACAACGATGTTGGAAATGCTTGTCTTGCACTAGCGTGACCTCACGCATTACATAATCACGTTGGAAAGGTCGCACATGACGTAGACAGAAAAACCGACCCAGTGTTTACAAAGCGAACGTGCAAACAAACGCCAAAGTGAAACAATGATGTCGGACAGTTTTGAAGTTGGAGGAGAAAATGAGATGGAGTTTTTCGCCCTACCCCACCTTTTTGAACCAGAGTACACGGATGCTAACCGTGCGTGACCTTTCCAACGGGATTACGTAATGCATGAATTTGAGGACGCATATTGCGGAGCTAGTGCAAGATAGAAGTATATACAATACTTTAAAGCTGCATTGAAACTGCAATTTAGACCTTAAACCCATTGATCCCCATTTAAGTCCATCAAAGGTTGCGGGTTCGAGTCTCATACCGGCAGGGATTGTAGGTGGGGGGAGTGAATGTACAGTGCTCTCTCCCACCTTCAATACCATAATACTTTAATGTTATTATATATATTATTATATTTGTGTATATTCATTTTAGTTAAGTTTTAGTAAAATTGTGTTTGTTTTTTTTTTTGGTGAAATTTTATTGTTATTTTTATTAGTTTTTTTCCTGAGGTCCACTTACAATGTTACTCAAGTCTTTTTGCACCTATAAATAATTTATACTATATATTTTTGTTATATTATTTATAGTTTTTATTAATATTTCTATTATATTATTTAGTATTTTTATTTTTTCATTTTAATTTTAAAGTTTCTGTAATTTTGTTGTGTTTGTCTTTTTTTTTACTTGGGTCCAATTACGTTTGTCAAGTCCTTTTACACCTTTATTCTTTCTTTTGATTTGAAAGTTTTAAGTAATTTTGTTGTATGTTTTTGTGTATATAGTGTATATATTTTTAATTGATTTTATTTCAGTTTTAGAATTATTTTAGTATATTAAGTTAAACTAATTTAAAATAAGAAATTTTATTTTAGCAACTAGCTGAAATAAAAAAACCCTTTTTTTTTTTTTACTTTTAAATTAATTTTTTCATTTCAGTCAACGTTTAAGTATTTTTTTTATTTAGTTTTAGTTAATGATAATAACCCTGGTATTGATTCTAAAATCAAAGACTGGATGAGCCACATATCAATTTATTATATTGACTAACTGACTGCCCTGTGCAGGTGACAACGAAACGAGCCCAGGCGTGGTGTCAGAGCAAAAGCAATATCCCGTACTTTGAGACCAGCGCAAAAGAGGCCATCAACGTGGACCAAGCTTTCCAAACGATCGCTCGCAACGCCCTCAAACAGGTATGCACTGTTTGACATTAGGGGTGGGAATCTCTAGGCACCTCACGATTCGATTACGATTCAGAGGGCTGTGATGCGATGATAAAACGATTATCGATGCATCTTTCTTTCTATACATTTTCTTTTTTCTCACTGTGTGACTATTAAAGCAAAGTATTTGTAATGACCAATAATGAATTTACTTCCAATGTCTTTTATTAATAAAACAAATGAAAGTGATTTGGCAAGTCATCTGGAAGTTTACATTTGCCAGCATATGTCCCAGCATTGCAAAGAACCAACAGGAAAAGAAATGTGCGGCTCCCTGATGTGCAAAAATTATATACAATATTAGAATGTTTGCGAATGTTTTGACGTTTGTGAATTGATTCAGAGTCGTCCACATCTGTATCGCGATGCATTTATTTTATGTATTTATTTACTTTTAATAACAGCACCTCCACTCTGATACTAATGTCTGCCCATCTCACAGGAGTCTGAGGTTGAGACGTACGACTTCCCAGACCAGATTAAACTGAGAGATGACAGACCCGTGTCCTCTGGTGACGGCTGCAGCTGCTGAGATGGGATGTATGGAGACAGAGGGGACCAGAGATGCAGAGGAGAGCCAGTGTGGGGCAGACCGATCCCGAAGTGCAAAACATCCAGCATTCAGAAGAAAACACTTCCTTCCCAAACTTGTATGTAAAGACTGTTAGGAATTTAAAGAAACTCCCTGCTACAGCATCACTTTTAATATAAGTACCTTTAAGGATATTATTTCTATGAGAAAGAGATGAAACATGATAGTTATTCTATTATTTACAAGTGATTTTTCATTTGTTTCTTGTATTGTTTATTCCTTGCAGATTATAGTCTTTCAGACTCGTCTCCTGCTTGTATGTCTTTCTGTGCCTTTTACTTCTTTTTAGGATGTAGAAGCAATCTTCCTTGAAATTCCTTTATTTTGCCAAATCCTTTAATATGCTAAACTTAATTCGTTAACTATAAAACTATACGCACCCTCAGAATAAACAGCCCAACATGTCACAATATCAAAATCCTCAGCAAGAGCTACCAAGACCAGAAAGAAATATTTAAAGTTTGTGCCTAAGGACGCCCACTTACATGGTACAGTCTTCAGTGCAGGAAGGCTGGTGGTGTCGAATGAACATTTTGGGGATCTGGGAGCTCACGAAGTCTTAAGTGCAATCATTTTAACCATGCAACACAATTTCTTTCACTTCGAACGAAAGTGTTTCCCCAGTTTTAATGTATGAATGTAACATTAATGATTAATTACTGTCTTGATATGATCTGTTCATATAGTAGACATTTCTAACGGGTTCATCTCATTGAACAAATTATGGGTATGATGTAGGTCAAATAAAGGAAAGCTGAAATCAGAGAGTGAGTCCTGACGACCCTTGAATCCGTGTGATTTTTTTTAACGTCTTTATTTCTATCAGCCAGTGTTGTAGATTATTTTGATCGAAAACTCTTAGTGATGTCTGCCAATAGAAACCAATAAACACATCTGTCCCTCTTTTATAAAACAATTACCTTTCCTTGAACAGTCAAATCAATTCTCGGTTCTTTTATCAACAATGCTCCATTAATAAATCTTTATTCAAATGACAAAACTCGTTTGTTTTGGCTTCTGTTACACTTATAAAATTTACTTAAAATTTGCTTTAACTTTTCTCGACCTCAGGCCATCCAAGATGTAGATGAATTTTTTTCATCAGAACAGATTTTGAAAAATGTAGCATTCCATCACTTGCTCACCAATGGATCCTCTGCAGTGAATGGGTGCCGTCAGAATGAGAGTCCAAACAGCTGATAATACCGTTACAGAAATCCACACGACTACAGTCCAACGATTAACGTCTTGTGAAGCGAAAAGCTGCATGTTTGTAAAAAACAAATTGATCATTAAGGTGTTTTAAACTTTAAACCTTCATTTCTGGCCAAAATATGGCCATAATCATAACAACTCCTCCTCCAGTGAAAGAGTCCATCCCCTGTTGTCCTCTCACTTCAAAGTCCACCGACATATTTGTTTAGACCTGTGTTCTCTTAAATGGTGCTTGATCTGTGCATATTTCTCTCCTGATTCAGACAAATGTTTTCATTGGAGAAAGCAATATTCTAGATAGAGGACCAAAAGCAATGGTTTAAAATTAAAATGTCTTAATGATCAATGTGTTTATTACAAACGACGTTAATAGATGGACTAGTCGTGTGGATTTCTGTCATGTTTTTATCAGCTGTTTGGACTCTCATTCTGACGGCACCCATTCACTGCAGAGGATCCATTGGTGAGCAAGTGATGCAATGCTACATTTCTCCAAATCTGTTCTGATGAAGAAACAAACTCTGCATCTTGTATGGTCTGAGGGTAATTTTTTAGTAAATTTTAATTGTTGGGTGAAATATTCCAAAACAATTGTCTTAAGACATGAGCAAAAGCACATTGATTACGCTTTTAAGGTCCTCACAGTCCATACTGAACACACGGCAGCAGATGTTTCTTTTTTACATCCTCCTAACATGGTGCAAACAGCATCTGCATCCACATTTCTGCTCTTATGCTTGTATTTGTCTCAAAGTGTCATTGTGAAACAGGTGGTCCAAATGCATCCATAGTTTCCATCACTAGAGACAAATGGTCCAAGAATGAACTTACAGAAACACGTAGAATACGGGCTTCATCTGCAGTCCATCTCCTATAAAGACATGACCAAAAATCAGATTTGTTTTATTGTGTATAATAGAAATGGTCTGTTAATTTCAACAACAAAACACGCATATCTTTTTTTTTTTTTTTTTTTTATGAATTAATATAACAAATACATAGGATAGTATTTGAAAGAAAAGAGAAAAATCTGGTAATTAGACCAGTGTGGCAAAGTGTGTCGACCTAAATCTAAATTAGGACAACTATTTTAAACGCTAGACTTTTGTAGGTGATCGTTCATGTGCTTAAACTCACACAGACAGTGTGTGTCCTGAGACATCAAGATTTTTAGTGATTCCTCCTTTCCTGGGCTCAGGATCAGGAGATAAAGACTGCAGGGCGATAGCTGCCTCTCTCTCAGATGGGAAAGGTACCTTTAAAAAGCTGATGTTTTGTTAAAGTTAAACAAAACAGGACTTTAAAAAAAAAACATGCACCTCTGTTTCTCATACATTGACCGATCTACTGTGTTACTTGGCTGCACATGTCTGTCTCTGATCAAACCCCGCCGTGCAATTATGTAAGAGCTGAAAAGTCTTAATAAATCCCCAAATATAAAAGCAGAGTTCACCTGTGTCATAGTAAATTAGTTGGACATGTACGAACAGCAGTAAAAGGATACAATTCAAGTTTTCTATCTGAATCGTTTTCACTCACGCAAGCCGCCATGTTGACATGTTTTGCTAGGCTTCAGATTGAAAGCGGCATTTTCGTCATGTTTTGATTAAACGTAACCCTTATTTTCATAAAATAACATTCGACAAAGTTTGATTTTACATTACAGCTAAAATGTAATGTAAAATCTAACATGCTTTTCTTATATTTAATGATATGTTTAGTGATTATTGTACTCTTGGTTTAGATTATCATAGTCAAAAATATAATTCATATTTTTATGATGAATTTTCCAGTGGTGGACGAAGTACACAAATCAAGTACTTGAGTAAAAGTACAGATACATATAATAAAATATTACTCCAGTAAAAGTAAAAGTACTCCTTTTTCAATTTTACTCAAGTGAAAGTGCAAAAGTACGCAATTTGTTATGTAAAATGTACTTAAGTACAGTAACGAATTAAAACTACTCCGTTACTGTCCACCACTGGAATTTTCATATTTTAGAGAGTAAATCAATATAATCTACACAAAAATACAGTAGTAAAAATAATTTATGATGTTATTTACATAAATATATCAAACGGTGATTAACATTTAAATAAATGTTAGATTATTTTGTTAGATTATTGTAATTAATATTATGATATTATTTTGTAAATGCCGCGAAGTAAGCGCACGGACATTTTCTAACCGTACTAATTTAAATTAATCACTCGAACGAATCGATTCGGAACGAATCGGAATGCTTCATACAAGAGCGAGTAAACATTTAAGAGAACGTTACGTCAAAGTCGTTACAAAAATAGCTATTTGTCACGTTACACTGCTTCTTGTCGATATAAGTAGCTCGTTGCTGGAAAAGCTACTGTCACTCGTGTCACCGAAAACCTAGTTATTATTAGTAGCGTGACTAATTTGACCTCTTTAACAGCGGTCAGTTCAAATGAATCAAACCTACACTCAGAAACACACTTGCAGCATCTTCACTCTTCATCACAAATGGCATACAGCAAGACTCGTTATGAGGTCGCAAGCTTCGTTTTCGGACGCAGAGGTGGAGGCGCATATGATGCAGTCTGGTTAGTGTGGGTAGGCAGCGCACTAGGTGTTGAAACAGCCGAGTCTGTCCCTGGTCATCTGCGCTGGATCGATCGATCGGTTCAGTCCTCTGTGCTCTTTATTGTAGGTAAGTCCGACACAGCGGAACCTCTTTTATTACATGATTTCATTTTATTTCAAGCGAGAACTTAAAAACATAAATGACAGAGTGCTACATATTTTTCCATATCTCTTTTTATGTAATGATGATACGAGTTTAAACAGCTTACCTGGGAAGTGATTTTTACAAGGACCATAATGAGAATCATTCTAATAAGACTTTGCTATTGCCTATATCTTTATGCCTGAATACTGAAAAGAAATTATATAATTTAGAAAACAATGTGCTAAACATGTACAATGTAAGATAAAGAAATAACATCTAAATCACTTCTGTTCAGTTTCATCGCTATATGGTTCTCTGTGTATTTGTTCATCTAAATATTTATTTTCTTAGATATTTTATTTTCATTTTTTAATTATTTTTCTATAGTGGGTTTTTATTTATTGGGGATTCAAAGAAACTGAAAATAAACTGGATTTTGACAATGTAAAACAAGGAAACCTAATAATGTAAACTAAATAGGAAATGTTTAAAACCAAGTAGGAGACTATGAAATTCATATTTAAAAAAAATATATTAATTCATAATTTCCATAATTTAATTCAATAATTTTTCAAATTCAGCTTCACACTTGAATTGTTGCACTAACAATTTGTAATGAAAAAACTATTAAAAAAGAAAGCATTTTTAAGTGTATTTTAAGTTTCATTTATTCATAAACTTAATAAGAAATATTTCAACCTTTATTTTATTCAACCTTTATTTATAAAGCACTTTCAAAACCATAAAAATGGACCAAAGTGCTGTACAGTATATAATCTAGATATCAAAAAACTTAAAATATTAATAACATAACACCAAAAACATAAGACATAGAAGAAATCATTCACAATTGTCAGACCTAATCAAATGCAGAAAGCCTGTTAAAACAATTAAGTCTTGTTTTATAAGTCTTGTTTAGCATTTGAGACCAAATACTAAGAAACTGTAAAATTCATGTTCATTTTTGAAATTCATCTTCACATTTGAATCATTACTCTCATGTGACCCAGGACCACAAAACCAGTCTTAAGTGTCAATTTTTCGAAATTGAGATTTATACATCATCTGAAAGCTGAATAAATAAGCTTTCCATTGATGTATGGTTTGTTATAATAGGATAATATTTGACCGAGATACAACTATTTGAAAATCTGGAATCTGAGGGTGCAAAAAAATCAAAATATTGAGAAAATCGCCTTTAAAGTTGTCCAAATGAAGTTCTTAGCAATGCATATTACTAATCAAAAATGAAGTTTTGATATATGTATGGTAGGAAATTTGCTAAATATCTTCATGGAACATTAAGTATTATTTACTTAATATCCTAATGATTTTTGGCATAAAAGAAAATCGATCATTTTGACCCATACAATGTATTTTTGGCTATTACTACAAATATACCCCAGCGACTTAAGACTGCTTTTGTGCTCCAGGGTCACATATAATTTGTAATGAAAAAACTGTATTCAAAAAGAAAGCATTTTCAAGGGGACGCCACTGTATTTACTGGCTATTAATTTTATTTACACTGTATTTCTGTTTAATTTATTCATAATTCTGTCCTCATCATCCCATCAGCTGTAACACGTCCATTTCCTTCTGACTGAGATCAATAACGTGTCAGAAACATCCATCTCAAACCCTGTAAAGCTGCTTGTTCGGATGTGTTTTACTGATTTCTTTATTGGATTTCATTGCTTTTATGGATGCATAATCCTCCAGCGGTGACGGGCTGATGGGAACTCTCCGTGACCTCCAGTTTGCCCTGCAGACTAAGATTGAGGAGCTGCGGCAACGTGACGCCCTCATCGATGAGCTGGAGCTGGAGCTGGACTCTAAAGATGACCTCATCAGACAGCTGCAGGGCGAGCTGGACCGTCTCCGCACCGCCTCGGTCTCACTCAACCCCTCCGGGACGACAGAAGTCACAGGTGAGCTGGGAACTCAATCAAATGCCTGGATTAACCATACAGACAGATTTGATTTATTGTTGCATTTTATTTTATCGGTGCCGGAGCAGCGTTACCAGATGAGCCCCAGCGAACTAAACGCCAGGCCATTTCAGCCGAACCCACAGGGCTGGACCCAAATCAACTCACCCACGTCACCCTCACCAACTACAGCAAGAGCGAGGAGTGAGTTAGAGCCCGTACACATGAGTGAATTAGAAAAGCAACATGTTTGATTGCGTCCCATCTCCCTGTGCTCATCCCAGGTCTCGAGAGTTGATCCAGAAGGCTCTTTTGGAGAATGATTTCATGAAGCACCTGGAGGCCAGTCAGATCCTCACCATCATGGACTGCATGTATCCCACCACACTGGCACAGGGCTGCTGCGTCATCCAGGAGGGCGACGACGGCTCTACTGTCTACGTCCTGGAAGGTGAAGAGCATCTATTTCAAATCTACTATTTTTACTTTATGATCAGTTAAAACTATTTGGAGAAACAGATGATGTAAAACTGAAAGGGCCCCTAACAACAGCGTTTTGTTTTTATGCTAACCTCTGTCAAGTGGGCTGTTGAATTTGCTGCCTGTTCGTCATGTGTTTGTGACAGCGATCCTCCGTGCAAAGAGAACACTTCACATGATGTGTGCTATTATTTCATGGCTTTGCACAGGAATAGTTCAAGCACAAAAAAACTAAAATTCTGTCATTATTTACTCAAAACCCATATTCTGTTTATTTTTTGGAACACAAAGGAGAATTTAAATATTTGTTGCAGCTTCTTTTAAATAAACCTATTCAAAAGTTTGGGGTTGGTAAGATTTTGGAATGTTTTTGAAAGAAGTCTCTTCTGCTCACCAAGGCTGCATTTATTAGAAAAAAAGTACAGTAAAAATAAAAGTAATATTTTTTAAATATTATAACTATTTTCTATTTGAAAATATGTTAAAATGTAATTTATTCCTGTGATCAAAGCTGAATTTTCAGCTTCATTACTCCAGTCTTCAGAGTCACATGATCCTTCAGAAATCATTCTAATATGCTGATTTGCTGCTCAAGAAACATTTCTTATGAATATCTATATTGAAAACACAATATTTTTAATGAATAGAAAGTTCAAAATAACGTTTATTTGAAATAGAAATCTTTTGTAACCTTCTAAACTGTATTTTTTCATCAGTTTAATGCATCCTTGCTGAATAAACTCTCTCTCTCTCTCTCTCTCTCTCTCTCTCTGTGTGTGTGTGTGTGTGTGTGTGTGTGTGTGTGTGTTGTGTGCAGAGGGGTCGGTGGAGGTTACCAAAGGAGAGCAGAAGCTGTGCACCATCGAGCCGGGGAAAGTGTTCGGAGAGCTCGCAATACTCTATAACTGCACGCGCACGGCCACCGTCACAGGTGAGATTCACTCAGTCAAAATATTAGTCAAACTGGGAACTAAAGGAAGCTGATTATTTAATGTTTCCTATTTCATACTCAAGCTTTCTCCTCCTTTCAGTTCAACTGAGTTTTAATTGGATTTGCTTTATTAGTTTAACAAAACTGTACATTTATACTGTTAACATGTTTGGAGATTAGAATAAATATATAAAAGTAAAAAGTAACATAAAATAATAAAGTAATATAGAGTAAAATAACAATAGATCAAATGCAGTAAAAAAGTTTAATTAACATTTGTTTTATATTAAATTCAATTTATTATATTAAATTTAAATTTCAGAGAAAGTAACAATCAACAGTTTACCAAAAAAAAGGAACAAGATGTTTCATACAATCATAGAATAATTTAAATATTGAAATGTTAATAGTAATATAAAATAATACATCTATGTACTGTATATATAGAGTGTAGGTAAATATAGAGTAAAATAACAGAGCAAATTTATTAAAATTATTATTTATATTAGATTAAACAAAAGTGATTCATTAAATTAAATTCTAAAATAAATTTAATTAAGATATATAAAGGGTAAAAGTAATATGAAAATATTATGTATAATGTTAATATAGAGTCAATAACAATAGAGCAAATTGATTAAATAAGTATTATTACTAAAAAACATAATAGTTAATTACATTAAATGATAAGTTAAATTAGGAAGGAACAGGATGTAACATACGAAAATTAAAATATATAATATATATAAAGTAATATGAAAATAGTACGATTAGTAGAAAATAAATAACAATAGCGTAAACTGAGTAAATAGAAAAACTTAACAAAAAACAAAATGTTAAAAAATAATATACCATTGCAGAGTAAATTCAGAAATTATAAAAAAAAAAAGAAAAAAGAGAGATATAGGATGTGACATAATTAGTTAGTAGGAAGGATCAAGTAAAGATAAAAAATGAACCCAAACTATGCCAATAATGGTATTAAATTTAGTCACAGGGACACTCTTTCTTTGTCTCTGTAATTCTGACAAACAAAACATATAAGCCTGAACTTATAAGATCACAAATACAAAGTTTGTTGTCTTGAGTCTGAATTCCTGCTCATCTGCCAGCGCTGTGGGCTATAGACAAGTGAACGTGGAGGAATCAGCAGTGTAATTGCTGGGATGTTTGGCCATATGGTTTTTCTAATATATCCTCATCCTTTGCCCTTTTACGACACATCGGTTTAGTGTGATGGATTGGGGTGAAATGAGTTGACTCTGGTGGTGTCTGTTTAATCGCAATAATAAAAATTCTATTCAAATCAGGCCTTTGGCTGTTCCTGTTCATGCAAAGATCACTCTATATTTCCCTGTAAGAATCTCACCTGTGAACCCTGATCAGATTTGCTGCATTTCAACAAAAAGTGCTAAACAAATTAGCTTTGTTTCTCTCCGCCGCTCAGAATGAGTACAATTTAAGTTGGATTTGCATAATTATAGAATAATATAATTAATCAAAAATGTTTCTCAACTTGACACACATTGGCTTCATCAGACAGCATAGTGTTTAAAGGAATAGTTCACCCCAAAAAAATGGTAAAAATAATGTACTCACCCTCAGGCCATCCAAGATGTAGATCTTCATCAGAACAGACTTGGAGAAATTTATAATTACATCACTTGCTCACCAATGGATTCTTAAGTGAATGGGTGCCGTCAGAATGAGAGTCCAAACAGCTGATAAAAACATCACAATAATCCACAAGTAATCCACACCACTCCAGTCCATCAGTTAACGTCTTGAAAAGTTACATTTTTGTCACAATAGAAGTGTAAGATGAAAAATTGCATTTTGGGACATATTAGTCCATGTCACATGTTCTGGTTTTATACTGCAGATTTTGGCAAATAGTCATTGAGATATTTCAGCATTTCATTTCATACTACAAAACAGTACAGATTTGCTGGATTTGAACAAAAAGTGCTGCAAATTGCTTTATTTTGTGGCCCAGAATGACTACAATAGAAGCTGGATTTACGTAATTAGAGAATAAAATTAATCAACAATGTTTCTCAACATTGTCATATCTCTCTCTTTTGTCAATAGAAAGATGACAAACAGTGTCTGCTGTTCAGGGGCAGCTAAATTAATAGCTTGAAAATAAAATAACTTCTTCATACTCAACCATTTCTTACAGCGTCCTGCGCTCATTGTCTGCTCTCCTTCCATCAGTCATTTCTGGGCTTTCTCATTTCTTGCTGTTTTTGTGGTTAGAGGTCAGCTCCATTTTCAATGTACATCTGACGTCACTGAGACATCAGAGAGTGACAAAGTAGGGTGAAGGTCTGTTAGAAATGTCAACAGCTACTTAAGGTTTAAAGTATGACTTTATAAATCTAAGAAGGTAGATACTTCACTTTAACCAAACTTGATTAGCATATGTTGAAATCTTTTGAAAACACTTCAGATGGAGTCATTTTAGTGGTTCATCACATACAGGTAATTTAACATGAAAATTAAAATGTTTAGCTACTGCTAGCATACTATGTAATGCACAGTATAGATTGTATCTTGCCTATTGTTTTTTAAATATAGTTTGTCATGGTACACGTTTCAAACAGTAGTATGCTACACACTGACACATTGTTTAGGCATCCAGCTATCATTGCATAGATAAAATGGGCATTTTGCTATTTAGTACGATTCTATATTATTAAAAACTTGGATGTCTGAGGGGAAATTCAGACCTGCCAACCTTGGAAAAAAAAAGTACCATCAGTGTGACGGCACGGGACACAGGGTTTGGGGGAGGGGTTCATATATTCCTAGATAGCTACATTATTACCTGAAGCTCCTTTTAATGTCAAAGGGTTAGTTCACCCAAAAAATTAAAATTAGGCCACAAATTACTCACCCTCAAGTCATCCTAGGTGTATATGACTTTCTTCTTTCAGACAGTTATATTAAAAATCGTCTTTGATCTTTCAAGCTGTTTCATGGCACTCAGCGGGTGTTGCATGCATCAGTCCAAAAGAAGTTAAATAAAAAGCGCCCATCCATAAAAAAAGTGTCTCACACGGCTCCGGGGGGTGAACAAAGGCCTCCTGTAGCAAATCGATGTGTTTTTGTAAGAAAAATATCCATATTCAAAACATAATAATCACTTTAATGTAGCGAAGCAAAGTTTCCTTACTTTAGCAAAGGAAAACAAGTCTCCTCTTGGCTTATATCGAAATCCTCCGACATTCTTTTTTACAAATCCTGGTTTTGTACTTCTAATAAGTGACCAGTGTTTTGTTTTGATCTCTTCCCTGCGCTTCCCTGTGCGTCACTTCTGAGCGGCACATGCGCAACGCTGACCTCATACGTCATCCGCCCGGAACTGCTTCCAGTGTACAACAGTGAGCGCAAGCTCTAAAGAGATTATTACGTTTTGAATATGGATATTTTTCTTACAAAAACGCATCGATTCGCTACAG